TGTAAGATCTGTAATACGACTTGTAAAACCAGTCCAATAGTCCTTTTCCTTGCCTGAATCAATCCCAGCTCCTTGTAGACTGACTTCCTCTCTCTGTCATTCAGTTAATCTGCCAGGTGAATTGCTGCATATCTCCTGGGATGGTGGGTCTGCCCCTTTTTCCACCAGAGGTTCCATTACTGGGATCTGTTCATTCACCCCTTTTGGTGAAACACTTGTCCCCCGTGTGCCCCTTTCTTCTCCCCCCCCCCCAACACTTGCTTGCTTCCGTGGTGGCACACTGCATTCCCATGGGGGCATCCAGTACTTCTCCCCGACTTCGAGGAGGATCAGAGACCATTGTGCTGCTCTCATGCTGCCCCCTCCTGGCAGATCTGGTTGAAAAAAGCAGCAGGCTTTGTGTTTGGTTAGAGGAAGTTGCTACAGCACAAACTGGAGCCTTAGTCTGATACAGGAAGAGACTGGAAGCTGCTTGTGGGAACCAACAGTGTTAAGATCTTGGGCTTACCTTTGAGTCTAGTTCTGACTTGGCCTGGCAGACCATGGGTGGGGAAGACAGAGTGTGGCGAAGAGGCTTTCCAATGGATTGAAGGGCATGCTCACCTGCATGCACTCCATTTTAGGTCTTGCATGCATCTAGTTTGAGGTGGTTCTTAGACAGGGATCCCTTTGGGACAATAGAGGGAGTTTCCGCCATGGAGCCCCAAATGGCTTTCAGCTGCTGCACACATTCCTACATAGGAGTTCATTGTAATCTATTGGGAGCATCCATGGTCTCTCCTGGTATTTCTGTCTACCACAGCATGATAGCATTGCAGGATTAAGAGGCAACCTGCTGAGGCTCAAATAGGGGACACGTGAATAGTCCAGGAAGCTCTGCACAGACTGGGGTTAATCTCTATAGCCTCAACATCTGGGGTCAGCTTCTGACCTCCAATTAAAGTAATGAAAGTGAGACCACCAAGGACTAGTGGGAGACAGCGGCAAACCTGGGTTTCAAATAAGGGTCACCTGAGAAGAGATTATGCTATTGGTAACCCACAGTCAGCTCTAATGGCCCAGGAGGGGGATGGGATGGTAAATACTGACACATGCTCCCAGGGCAAGAGGTGGGTTTGAGGGAACAGCCTAACTCTGCGGACTTCCCTCTATCTTTCCAGATGTTGTCAACAGTGTTGAATATCATCATCTTTGAGGACTGCAGGAATCAGTGGTCCATGTCTCGACCTCTGCTAGGCTTGATATTGCTCAATGAAAAGGTAGGCAGGCCCAACCCCTCTGGCTGGGTTAAGCTGACTTTAATCAGGAGTGACCCAAGGACTTGAGCCCAGTCTCGTATTCTACAAATGAACAAGGGGTACTCAGGCAGAGCTGGGGTGTGGGCAGCCAGGCTTGGCATGGCTGTGCGCACTGCGGATTGAGCAGGGAAGCTTGCATGGCACTTGCCTGCACCATGATTAATTCTAAGTCCTGTGGGCTGCTCGTTTTCCCAAGTCCTAGAATCTATCCAAAATAATCATTGCGCTCTCTGCCTTGCCGAGATGAGCTGGCGCCATTCAGCACTCGCCTCTGAAGGCTGATCTTCCTTCTCTTGTCTCCTCCCAGTATTTCTCTGACTTACGGAACAGTATAGTGAACAGCCAGCCCCCTGAGAAGCAACAGGCGATGCACCTCTGCTTCGAGAACCTCATGGAAGGCATTGAACGCAACCTGCTAACCAAGAATAGGGACAGGTCAGTATGGAAAAATCCCTTGGCCAAAGAACCTGGTTCATGACCAGGCAGTGCAGCTGACAGCTCCCCTCAAGGGGTGGCACTGCATGGTTAATGAACCTGCTCCATGTGTCAAGGCCCCCAGAACACCATGGGAAAGGGCTAGGCTCCGTGGACACATCAGGCATTTGTGCCCACAGTGGTGGTCATGCCTTGGACAGTTCTTGCCTCCTGGGGGCCAAGTGCTGCATCTCATGGGAGTAAACTCTTAAATTCCTTGGTGTAACACCAGCTTCCAGGGCCTAAAAGCCTGAGCACCTGCCCAGGAGCTATATGGAGCTAAGGTGGGTCCAACGCATTGTGTACATGTTAGAATTGTTCCAAAAGCAGCAGCTCAAAGGCAAACTGGCTTCCTAGTGCTGATGTGCAGGAATAATGGAACTGTCACTGGCTCCCCTTTCACTCAAACATGGCAGCCTCCTACAAGCTGCAGTGTTCCCCCTGCATCTCACATGCAGAAAGCAGGGGTGCAGGATCTAAACCTGTGCATCTGCTCAGTGGAATGGGAGCAGGGGCAAAGGGCTGCTGGCCCTTCCCTTTCCCTCACCAAAAACCGCCTCTATAGCATCTTCTCTTGTACGTGGTTCCAACTGGCAGGCCCCTCTGTGTATGCACTGCTGATTAGATACTCGTGCATCATGCCCTGTTGCAGAGGGAATGGCTGGGTAGTTGCAGGTTACATTATCACACTGGCTGATATGTTCACTGCTCCTCTGCTGCCTTCTCACTACTCACTGAAACCTGCAGGGCCAACACTACCTGACCTGAAAAGTCCCTGACCAGATACCCTTCAGTGGAAATGCGGAGCCTGTCACATCTGAGTGACCAAAATGCAGTCCTGTAGCTACTCTCCTGCTTCATGCATGATCAGACACTACAGATCCCGGCATGCACTGCTCCATCTTTGTCCCAGTATTAGCATTATAGGCTGGGAGTTGGAGCCTCCTGGCTATAGCAGAGTTTTAAAGGGGAGAGAGCAAGTTTCATGTAGCCCTTGTAAGTGCTGACAAGCTGCCCGCAAGGCCCCTTGTTTGGCTGCCCCCTGCTCTAACATGCTGGTCTGTGTTCTCTGTAGGTTCACTCAGAACCTGTCCGCGTTCCGACGAGAGGTAAATGATTCTATGAAGAACTCCACCTATGGCGTGAACAGCAACGACATGATGAGCTGACACCTTCCCCTGACTCCACCTGTACAGAGCAGCATCTCTTTGGCCTGGACCAGAGGGGTTAACGTTTCCGATGGAAAGATAAGAGGGCGTTTCTGATCCCTGCTCTTCCCTAGGGTTGGACTGCGGTGCTGTTTGGCCGTACTCCATGTCCAAGGGAGGAGGGAACAGGAGCAGTGTTAAAACTCACCAGGGCAGGGTGCTTCTGTTTCCTTGGGAGGGGGTGGAGGGGCATAGCCCAGGGGTGAGAATCCAACATCTCCCTACCAGAATGTCTGGGTGGAACCCTAGCACTCTGCTGCAGCCTGCCTTGTATAAACATGTACATTTTTTCATAACATTTTGAACAAGGTTTATATTGACTCCGTTTAAAAAAAAAAAAAAAGTATGATTGAAATTTTTACAGAGTCTAGTGCACCAATGCTGACGTGAGGGTTGTGTATGTGAGTGAGGAAGGTGTGTCTCATGCTGGCCTGAAGCTTTCCTGGGCAAGGGGGTGTGAAAGTGCAGAGATATATTTAGTGACAAGTGTAGAGAGAAGCAAAAAAAATGTAAAATTCCAAATGTATATTTTTTCTTATAAGGCCCTTTAAATCACAACTTCCTGTTACTGTTTCCTCTTTGTTATTAGGAACTCTAAGCCATGCTGTACGATCATCCAGCTGTGCTAGCCCATGGATGTCTCCCCTCTGTAACAGTAGATGCTGTCCGGTTGTCATTCAGCTTAGGGCCCTTCCCACTCAACATGTGGGTTGGGATGCTTCTCCCCCCGCCTGTCCCCAGAAGCCCCACAACACATTTTCCTTTTAATTGTAAATTGTCCCTTTGCTTCCCCTTCTGTAAAGCTGGAAGTGCAGGTGGAATAAGAGCCCTCTAAAGGTTGAGCTTCTCCCTAGTACTTGTAAAAAAAATCCCAGCCCTTTGTTATGGGACATAAGTGGCGCTCCCACTGAGCAAAAGAACTGCAGCAACTTCCCTTGAGGTAGTGCATGTGTATATTTATATAGAGTGCACTCCTGAATGTATGGCACAGCCAAGAACATAAGATTTTTGTGTTGAATCTACCACCATGGAGGGTTCTTAATAACAAGGTCTGCATAGCATGAAGTACCTAACATCCCCCTTAAACCAAATCCATTTTTCTAAACCACCATATTAAATGTTTTTGGATATAAAATTTACTTACAGAAGAAAGTTAAGGGGGGGAGGGGACAACCTGTTTGCCTTGTACTTTTCCACTATTGTTGCTGCTAGTTGTGTGCATCTCTAGCTCAGCTCTAGCCCACAGACACTGTCCTTAGGTTTTATTTCAATTTCTCTTCCCTGACACCACCCACTCAATTTTTTAAAAATTTTTTTGTTCTTTCCTCTGGCGATTGTGTGTTGGGTCCTTTTTTGTGTGAGCAGATTGCTGGTTGACTTGTAAGGGTGTTTGCTGCATACAGTGTAAGCATTGTGACTGCAAATAAACTTCAATGGTTTCTACTGAGCTTGTCTTTTTGGATCTTGACTGTTGTGTACTGATCATCACCTCTACTCTCCCCTGAAGGGAGCTGCTATGAGAGAATGACTATGTCCCTCACTCTGATCTGCCTGCTAGAGATGGAGGTATTTTAACAGCTTTGCATCCATTAGTTTGGTTTCACTTTTTAAATAAAATATTAAGATTTTTAGGCTGTTAGAAGGAGCAGGACTACCACAGCCAAGGGGAGACTAGTAGCCATTATACAATACATCATCTTCTGTTGTGCTTCATGCTGCTACTCCCAGGAGGGGAGTGTTCCACATCAAGTCAACCGCAGGCTAGTATCTGGTCTTCAATCTGTGAAACCTGCCCTTTGTGCCCTAAACTCATTCAGGCACTACTTGTTAAAGCTAATGACAGCTATCTAACAGAGATGAAAGTAAGAGCTCATTCATTGGGTTTTGCCATTATAGCTGGATAAAAACTTGTCAGTATTTTATCCTGTAAAATAGCTTGCAGTTCCAGCTAGACTCTCCCTGTGTCCAGGATCAGTTGCTCTGCTAGATTCCCACACTGCTTTCATGAACTCATGTCAAATTAAGCCATGACGCGCGCACACACATTTATTTACTGGGTGCTTAGTAGTTAACATGGCAGAAATGCTGCCCTAAGAGCACCACAAACAAATTCTCACATTGAAGCCAAGTTGTCCAGGCCCAAAGTGGGCAGAGTCTTGCTTTGTTCTCTATCCCTCCACCATGAATTCATGTGCCTCTCCTGGGTAAGAGTCCACTTTAAACAATTAATAGGAATGCTCCTGGCACCAGGGAATCTTCCTCCTCACCTTTCCTGTCCATCTCCATGCGTGGCTAGTAAAGTGACAAAATATTTCCATCCCAGTCCTCATGCAGATATTCCCCTCTCTGCAGCAACAGACTTTGTCTCCATGGCCTGGCTGTAAACAACATTGTTATACCCCTCTCTGTTACGAGCTGTTTCAATAGCAAAGAACTGGATCCTGGTGACTGAAAGGAAAAAAAAAATCTGTTTACCTAACAGCCCCCAGCATACACAAAGAAACAGAGACTTACTCGAATATAAGCTTTATTCAAACCACCCTGCACAAGAGACACCAGGGCTTCCAGACTTCTGGGTCAGAAGTCTGGCATCCTAAGGCTGCCTCAAAATCATCAACCCTGGGAGCTAGGATTTTCCACCACTACAGCAGGGACTGTGGATGCACCCGAAGATCCTGATCCAGCCAAATGCTCTGGGGGCTGGCAGGCTCCCTGGCACAGAGCAGTTTCAGCACCAAGCAAGCCTCAATGTCTACACTGCCCAGGTCTGAGAAGAGGAGGGTGTACGCAGGTGCTTACTCACCAAATATTGTGTTCTCTTCCGTGTAGTCCTTAGTGCAGTCCAGACGGAGCAGGGTGCCATAGTTGAAGTCTTCAACTACTCCATCAAACTGCATACAGAAGGGGCGCCATTTCTGGAGACAGCAAAGACAGCTTTCACCCTTCTTTCTGGGAGGCAGATAAACTGTGTCCTCTAGTCTCCCTGCCACCTTCCTACAATGGCCTGGGGAGCTCCACGGCCACTGGACTCAGCTAGAGTGAGCAGAGGCCAGAATCACTGTAGGGGTTCCTAGACATCCTGCCCAAGGTTTCTCTAAAGAGCTGGCGCTCAGGGATGAGCTTCATGCTTCCTCAATGAAACGGGCTGGATTGCAGGGGGCTTCAGTTTGGGAAAGTCTCTCTGAATAGTGCAATTCTGATTGGGAGCGAGAGATCTATATGTACAAATCTAGGACACAGTAGGGTACAGGCAGGCTAACCAAGGAGCCTCAAAATGATGGGTAGCAGGGAGCACTTGTGCAAGAGAATAGCAAGCATGTTGCTTGCACTACACAGCAGTCAGAAAGCAACACCCAACTGGAGACTGGACTTGAAATATTTGGCAGCTAAGGAAAGCACCTTAGCTTTTGTTTTACTCTTGAGCTAAATATCAGAATACCACTATCCCGTCCCGCTCTGGCCAGATAAACGCTCTCCACGGAGAGGGGGACCTTCCCCCTCACAACCACTCAGATCCAGAAGCTCATGGGCAGTTTGAGTCCCAAAGGGTGATGATACACATAAAGCACTGACCGCTTTGGCTGGTTCCGATTTGAGCTCCTCTGGATCAAGCACATCGATCTTGAGGTCACCAAAGCTTTTCCTGAACTCAGCATAGATCTGGTCATCGACTTTTGTAAGTTTCAGGAACTTGGGGTCAACAGAGGAAATAAGCTATAAAGGAAGCATGAGAATCAGATTAAATGAGACCAGGCAAGCAGCAGAGGGGTGGGTCACCACAGCATTCATGCTGAATGAGAGGAAAAATACATAGGGCTTTCAAACACAGTGGTAACCAAGTTACCACTCCCTCGCCATCATGAACCACAGCCAGACAGTGACACCTCTCTCAAAGCAGGTGATACTAGCTCTTAACAAAAGCCCTTCACCCAACAACCTGAACTCAGTTCTGGGCACTTTTCCAAAGTTTGGACCAGAGTGTCTATCAGTTACAGCTAACTGCATCCCCTCAGCTCGCTGTCACCTCTCTTGGTGGTTCACTTTCTCAGACTGGGCTGCAGTGCCTCACATGTCAACCGTGATTACCTCAGCAGGCCTGACTTAGGTCCATACCCAGCAATTCTGTTCCCTCCAGGAGCAGTAACAGTGATGTCCAGCAACCAAGCAGCTTTCTTCAAGCAAAGTATTTATTTAGCACAGAAGCATTTCAGAGCAAACTGCTGGGAGCTAAAATGGGAAGGGCTGCAAATGGTTCAAGTGATTTTAAAACAATCAGCTGTCTATATGCATGTTCAGCCTGATACTGAAACTTACCATTCCCCAGAGCTGGGGAAGGCGAAAGCTTCATCTGACCTGGACCTGCCCATGTTAGAGCGACTGACCACTCTCCCCTGCTTTAGGCACTGTCACTGTAATCTTACCCAGTCCTTTGATCACTCCAACCATTTACAGCACTACCCAACTTCAGTTTGGAGTGTGTCCTGTAATTCCCTGACCCAGTGTTTGTTAGGAGGTTGCTTATCTATACAGATTGTGTTGCTTTCCCCACAACCCCCTTATTAGATCAATACATTCATACGGGAAAATCTTACAAGCCAATACACAATCCCTTCCCCTCACTGACCAAGTCACATTCACAAAATTACCACATCTCAGTCTTCATTTCCAGTGCCCATGGAAATGAGAACTCATTGGCTAGAAACAAACTTGCTTCCAGTGTCTACAGCACTCCTTGCTATTCCAGCCCTGGGCTCCCCACACACTGCTGTGCTAAAGCCCCTCAATCCTGACCTTGAGCCCCCTTCTGCTATTTTAGTCTGAGGCTTCTCTCCGGAGAGACTGAAATACGTCAGTCGGGTAGTGGCTTATTACAAGGATAATATCAGTGGGTTATTTTTATTAAAATAAAAAGCTTGAGAAGCAATTCTCCATGGACTTACATTAAAATAGACTTCAGCGTGCTGATATGCTTTCATGGCCCAGATCATTTCAATGTTGGGCTGCAGAGAAAGAGAAAAAAAGCTGTAACATCCCCTTAAATGCTGACCTGGCTCTGTGTCCAGCACCTTCCATTACCTAAGCATTTGCAGATGTTTTTGTAACATAGATAGGGCTTAGGTTTCCACTAGTTTCATGTTGATATTCTTCTCAACTGCCTGTCTAAAACAGGGAAAGGCTTGTGAGCATATGAAGAAAGCTGCAAGAGTAGCATCAGTCTGAGGAGATACAATTCACTGACATTCTAGGGCTGCTTTCATGCTAAAGTGCCTTATCAATTTAAGATGCAATTCAAACTATACATCAATTACACTTTCTCACCACTGAAATGCAACCACCTCTGGGTGGAACATGGAAGTACAGTAGTTGTACAGTATTGTCAAACAGACAGGAAGTGGAAAAGAACACAGACAAATGAAATATAGGGGAAACCTAAGCCCCATCTACATTACAAAAATGGAAAGTTTACATGTTTCTGCCCAAATCATGTCTGAATGTGTTTCCCTCCCCTCCCCCTTGCCTACAGGGACTACATTATAACTGGGTTAGAGAACAATGTTATAAGCAGACACATCTAGGCAAGAACATATTTCCCTAATGTGGGTAGCAGTTTTTTCTTGTCCACCCAGGCAAGAATAAGCTATCTATACCAGGTTTTAGCCACCTCCGTGTTTCACAACCATATTTCAACATGGTTAAATTTGTGGTAGAGGCAGACTGTAGTTATTCATGTTGGAATTTAGATGGGACACTGAACTAACAAATAGGACAGGGGATGGGGTCTGGTGTGAATGCGGCACTGATGCGAAGTGCCCATTTGACAGCTTTGGAGACTGAAATACTGTGTATATCCAAATGGGCATTGACAGTGCAAGCGTTCCCCTGTCTACCCACCAAACACTGCCAAGCTACGGGATTTTTAGCAATCACAAGTGGTTCTTTGTATTCATTTGAAATAGCATCAAACAAGGACTGGGAAGTTTAAAAAACCTGGAGAACACACTTTCAGGCAACAGCTCAGAACAACTCTGAGGTCAAATACATCATGAAACAGAGACCTCAGGGGTAACAACTACACATCAACGAATGTAAAACTAAGTGCTGCTCCTATTCAACACCTTTCTTGGACCCGCAGAAAGAAAAACCTATTAGTCCCTCATCAGTGCTCTCTCGGGCCTTTCTGGGAATACTCACATCATTGCCATAGGCTTCAGCTGGCAGGGACAACGCATGGGCTGCTGCCACAGCTTCCCCGGCCCCCTGCACATGAAACAAAGAGAGATGGCTGCTATTAGAGCCACAACTGGAACCACACAGAGAAATAAAGAGAACGTGGGGCGAGTTTGAGTTGTATTGAAACAAATCAGCACAACTAAATGGCAAATATATAAATCGAAGGAGTCAAACAAGCACTGTCAGGGTGCAGAAGACTGTACAGAATCCTTGCTCTGAAGAGTTTATAATTCACAAAGGAGGGGGAAAGGGTTGTAACATAAAAGCAAAGAGCAGTTGTACTGGGCATGCAGCCCTAAATGTGCAGAGACCCTTTTACTCCTCACTACAAAGAGCAGCTCCCTGAGACCCACACATACATGCAATGCTAGTCTATGGCTGGGTGACATCACAGAGGGAGGGGGGCAGATGGAGGTACACATTATGCTCTCCCTTCTATGCCTGAGTGGTTACAGGACACTGTGGGGCTCAGCCCCAGTTAGACACAATGAAAATTCACCTACAGAGCAAATTTCTGCCTTTGGAAGGCAGAAAACAGGGATGTGACATAAGGACAGTGTCCTAGGACACAACTCCCCTCTAGATGCTCCGTGAGGCATCACACCCTCTGTTCTGCCCTTCCAAAGGTTCTATCCCCCCACAAAGACTTTGTTTCACCATGATCCCTACTTACAAGGGCTCTGCAGCCCCTGCAGATCAGTCCCATGCACCCCCAAAACCAGGACTGTGTCCCCCTCCTTTCAAGGGCTTCATAATCACCAGGACTCTAAATCCATCCCCAAATCTTCTCCCCGACTTGGCATCTGCTAACCCCGACCCCCCCACACACACTTTAAACTTCCCCCAACACCCCCCAAAGCTCGACCCCTCCATCAAACCTTCCCCCCAAACCCCCTGCCCGGGGCTCGGCCTCCCCATTAGTCCCCCACCCCGGAGCTCGACCCCCGGCCCTCTAGGACCCACTTTTCCTTACCAGGGCTCCCAGGCCGCCTCCAGCAGCGGCCATGCTGCCTGTGACCCCTGACCCTCCATCGTCCCCCTTCCGCCCACACCGGAAGCTGCCCAGCCAGTGTGGTCACTGAGCATGCGCACAGCCGCGCTCGGGGGAGTCGAAGCGTGCAGGGAATGGCGCATGCGCAGGGGGGTGCCTGATTCGCTTTCTTTTTTTTTTTTTTTTTTTTTTTTTTTTTTT